GCAAAGGTTTCATCAAAATCAACCCCTTCAACCTGGGTGTATCCTTGAGCAACAAGTCTTGCCTTATTTCTGGTGACAACTCCTTCAGCATCTGACTTGTTCTTGAATATCCATTTTGTCCCAATGATGTTAGTTCCTTCAGGTCTAGGAACCAGTTCCCAAACTTCATGTTGCTTGAATTGGTTCAGTTCATCTTGCATTGCACCAATCCAGTATTCATCAGTTAAAGCTTCCTTGACATTTCTTGGTTCCATTTTGGACACAAAACAAGAGTTTGAGATGATTTCTCTAGATCTTGTGATGACTCCACTGTTGGGATCTCCTATGATGAGCTCTTTTGGATGATCCTTCTGAATTCTGATGGAAGGGATCTTGCTAGTTTCCTTTGATTCAGATTCTGTTGTGGTGGAGTTGGGTAGATCATTCTGTTGGATTGAAGTCTCAAAGAATGTCTCAACAGTACAAGGAACATCTATTTCTTCATGATAATCATCAATTATAACATTTATTGATTCCATCATGGTTTTGGTTCTGGAGTTGAATACTCTATAAGCTCTGCTGTTTGAGGAGTATCCTAGAAATATGCCTTCATCACTTTTAGGGTCCAGTTTTCTTCTTTGTTCACGATCAGCCAGAATATAGCATTTGCTGCCAAACACATGGAAGTACTTCACAGTTGGTTTTCTTCCTTTCCAGAGTTCATATATGGTGGATGAGGTTCCCTTCCTCAAGGTGACCCTGTTATGAACATAGTAGGTTGTATTCATAGCTTCAGCCCAAAAATACATAGGAAGTCTTTTGGCATGTAACATTGCTCTGGCAGATTCCTGTATGATCCTGTTTTTTCTTTCCACAACTCCATTTTGCTGAGGTGTTATAGGAGAAGAAAACTCATGACTAATTCCTTCTGAAGAACAGAAATCATCAAACTTGCTGTTTTCAAATTCCTTGCCATGATCACTTCTGATTCTGACAATACACCCTTCCTTTTCTCTTTGAATTCTTTTGCACAATTCTTTAAAAACTTCAAATACATCAGATTTTTCCCTAATGAAATTAATCCAGGTGAATCTAGAAAAATCATCCACAACCACATAGGCATATCTTTTTCCACCAAGACTCTCTACTTGCATTGGTCCCATCAGATCCATGTGAAGAAGTTCTAGAACCTTAGAGGTGGTCAGATGTCTTGACTTTGGATGTGACATCTTAGTCTGCTTACCAACCTGACATTCACCACAAACTCTTTCTTCATCAATTTGCAGTCTTGGAATCCCTCTGACTGCCTCCAAGGAGATAATCCTCTTCATACCTCTTAGATGAAGATGGCCAAGTTTTTGGTGCCACAGTTTCACCTCTTTACTTCACAACTAAAATCCCCCCCCCCCCCCCCCCCCCCCCCCCTTGCAAATTCTTTTTTTTTTTTATTTATTATTTCCTTTTATATAGTTATTTTCTTTTTTTTCTCTTCTGATTTTGATATATTTACATTTATATTTTAATTATTATAATTATATATTTACATTTATATGTTAATTATAATCATGTACATTTATTATTATAACTGACTAATTAATTTAGACTTAGTTAAAAAAAAATATTTATCTACGTTAAATCACATCTTTAAAATTATATACCTAGAAGTAATTCTCGCAGTATAATTTGAATGAATATTTTATATCAAGATATTAAAACCCGTGATTTACAAAAATTATAATATCCACAAACGGTACGTGGCAAATATCTGGTCACGTGATAAGATAGCTATATCAGACTCTTCGGTTATATGCGTCTAAAAAATACGCAAACAAACGTCAAATTATTTTCTATTTTTTATTTCATCCAATTTGGTGTGTATGCGATGGAATGAGATATTTCAAATAAAATAACTAAATGATGGAGTGAGATCCATATTCCATTCCACCTTGCTATGTTCCGTTTCACTCCATTCCACTAATCTAAACATAATTCAAACAATATACTATTTGATAAATAATTAAATATGTTAAAATAAATATGCGATTGATTAGGAGTATAATATCCCATTTTTTGTGATGGGTAGAGAGCTTGTACCCTGAAATAAATCCATCCCATAATACCGTGTGGCCATATTGAAGGAGAGAGATGGTGATATAAAGCACGTGTATGAATATTATTGGTGGTTATATATATATATATATATATATATATATATATATATATATATATATATATATATATATATATATATATATATATATAAAAGAAGAAAAACGTGACCTTGCTTGAAAACAAGCATTCTATTCTACTACGTACGTACAAGATAAGGTGTAACGTGGTCCTTATAAATTTCACCTTTTTTATAACTCACCCCACAAACCAAACACTACACTTTATTATTAGCTCTGTTGTTTTTTATCATACTGATAGCAAGCATGACTTCAACACCATTATTATTCACAGTGAGGAGGTTCCAACCAGAGATGGTGCGTCCGGCTGCATCTACTCCTCGTGAAGTTAAACTACTATCTGACATAGATGATCAACAAGGCTTACGTTTTAATATTCCTCTCATTTTTGTCTTTCATCGTGAACCATCAATGGCTGGAAAAGATCCGGTAGAAGTTCTTAGAAATGCACTGTCGCAAACACTTGTGTATTACTATCCATTTGCGGGAAGGATTATAGAAGGTGTTGGACGCAAGTTGATGGTTGATTGTACTGGTGAAGGTGTCAAGTTCGTTGGTGCTGAAGCTGATGTAACGCTTGATCAATTTGGCGACTCTCTCCATCCACCATTCCCTTGCTTCCAAGAGCTTCTCTACGATGTTCCAGGCTCGGAACTAATTATTGACCGTCCTATTCGACTCATACAAGTTAGTTTTAATAATTCTTGAATCCCTGACATCTAAATACGTTTTTCACTACAAGAAATATGAAACATACTAACAGACACCTGACACCAAGTACCATTAGTAATGATTGATAAGTGTTGGGATTTAGTATAATTTTATACTCTTTTTTTTTTTTTAAATAGAAAAATATATGGTAAAAAAGCATTTACATGACTTTGAAGTTGTGCAGTGGCAAGTTAGTTACTTTTTTAAAACATAATTTTGTGAATACAATTTAAGCAGGATTTTCAATTTCCCACTTTTATTTTTTATGTGGATATAGGTAAATTAAAGTACATAGAAAAAAATGTCTGTTGATAAGGTTATATGATCGACCTATGTGTTGTTGTTATAAGTCAAAATTCTTGTAGTATACGAATTTAGTGTTAAAAACTTGCATTTTGTTGGTTTATAAAATATTTTTAAACATGAAAGGTGACACGTCTCAAGTGTGGTGGTTTGATAGTGGCTATAAGTTTGAACCATACAATGAGCGATGGAACTGGTATGAAACAGTTGATGGATGCATGGGCAGAAATGGCTCGAGGAGCACATCAACCTTCCATTCAACCAATCTGGTGTAGAGAGATCCTCATGGCAAGAGATCCACCACGCGTTACCTACAACCATCGTGAATATGAACAAGTATTTCCACCAAATAATACCATAAATGAAGAAGATACTACAACCATAACCCACCAATCTTTCTTCTTTAAACCTTCAGACATAGCTGCACTTCGTCTCTTGGTTCCATTTCAATGTACCACATTCGACATTATCAGTGCATGTTTTTGGTATTGTCGCACAAAAGCATTGCAGTTAGAGGCAGAAGAAGAAGTAAGATTTATGGTCATCGTCAATGCACGTTCGAGGTTTAACAATAATCACTCCTCACTTGTTGGATATTACGGTAACTGTTTTGCTTATCCAGCAACCGTCACTACAGCAGGGAAGCTTTGTGGAAACTCACTAGGATATGTTGTTGAGTTGATAAGAAAAGTAAAAACTCAAGTTACAGAAGAATACATACGGTCTGTAGCAGATTTCATGGTTATTAACGAAAGGTGTTTATTTACAACTGTAAACTCTTGTGTTATTTCAGATTTGACTAGAGCTAAATTTAGAGAAGTGGATTTTGGATGGGGTGAAGGGGTGTATGGTGGAGTTGCTAAAGGCGGGGCTGGACCTTTTCCAGGGGCAACTTACATAGTTCCTTATAAGAATGCAAAAGGAGAAGATTGTTTCATGTTACCAATTTGTTTGTCCTCTCAGGTAATGAAAAGGTTTGCTGAGGAGTTAGATCAGATGCTTAATAGCTAAATTGTTATACTATCATAAGTAGTCCTTGTTAATTCATTATTTTGTTTTATGTCAAAAATATATTTATTTTATATTATTTTTGTGTAAATTTACACTAACAATTATGTTGAAAAAGATCTAAAACTTCTTCATCATCATCTTCAGATATAAAGAAAATAATCTATCATGTATATAGACAAAAGATTATGTAAAGAATACAAACTATTTTATATTCTTGCAATTCATCACAAAGACTATTTTCACAAATATTAATTATCAATGTTTGTGAATCACAACATCCAAGATATATACTACAGCGTTTGCATTGTGAATGACTGTCGTGAAGGTTTTCTACTGATCGCTAATGTTTCTTGGGGCTTAAATGTGTTGGCAGTGTCTTAAGCATCGACATCCAATAAATGAACGATAAAGATATGTTTATGAACAAAAAATTTCTGAGCCGACCAAAGGCTCAAATAGCTAAGGCCCAACTCTCCTCAAATCCACTCCACTTGACCCAAGATATGAAAGTTAATTCACAAAAGTAGATCTGTTTTTGGTCTGGTCCAGTCCAGATATAAACCATCCCGAGAAGTGGACTTGACCGAAACAGTGATGGATGATTTTTTAGGACCGAAACCGGACCAAGTAGCATTTCGGTCGGTCCATTGGTCCGGTTCCACCGGAGCGATTCTCGGGTAATCCACTAGACAACTTTCTCACAATGGGAAACTTATTAGATACTCGAGATAACAATATATACTAAGCATGACCGACTACTTATTGGATACATAGTCCGATTCTTGTTTCGGGTATTGGATAAAAAAATTATCCATTCCCGACCAAGTAGAATTTCGGCTGGTCCATTAGTCTGGTTCCACTGGACCAGTTCTCGGGTGGATCTCGGGTAACTCGTCCAAATATAACCCTACACACAATGGAAAACGTACACTCTCTTATCTCACTTTTCATTATTCTCATGTTGAATCTTTAACTGAATTTTGAGTTAGAGATCTAACCATGCAGGATCCACCACGGCGCCACCGTGACAAAGATCAACACCATTATTTCAAGATCATTAGTTCTCTAAGTGCATTCATTTTTGTTTCATGAACAAAATTAAAACCGGACACTTTTTCCCTCGGTTATTTCTGAATAACTAATGTAAAACGTTATTTCCTTTTTAAATAAAAATGAAATTAAATAATGACATTTACCCTCGATTTTGAGACCAATTGAGGGATGTTGGGTGAGAATATGGTGTAAGAAAACGATCTAAATGAGGGTGAATATACTTTTCAAAATCGAACCAACCAATTTTTTATAAACAAAATATCAGAGGTTTTTCAGGGTATGCGCATAGAAGTTTTAGAGTGAAATAGAGTGAATTATACTTGAATAGAAATTAATAAACGTGAACACGTAATCAATGTACAACAAACAAAAATTGAATTAATGAAGATACACTAGGTATTCAATCGATTACAACATAATTCACGAGATATGATTATATAATGATTCAATTCGTGAATTCTAAACTCAATAAGTTTCTCAGATTTTAATCACCACTAAAGCTCAATTAGGTCGTAATTCTAAGAAAACCTAACCTTTAAGCAATAAATCACTATCAATGCAACAAACGATAAACTTCTTTATGAATGAAAAACCTAGGAATGCAATATATTACGGAATTTCTTTCACAAGCTTCTGGGATTCTGATAATGTCATAAAGAAGTATGACAAATCTTTCCAGAAATTTCTTTCTAAAAGCCTAAATAGAAGTATAATGGCTTCAATGATCTATGGTGTTAGCAGAAATAGAACAAGAGGTATTGGTTATGGTTTTGATGAAGAATCCACTTCAAAAAAAGATGACAATCCAAAAACTCTTCATTCTCATTTTGTTCATGTTGGTTATGTGCCTAAATAAAAACCTATTTCAATACCTAAGGCAAAACCAAAATTTCCTCGTCGTTTTTACTATTCATATACGTTAGACGACGTGACGGATCTAGAAGGAGGGGTTGAATAGATCCCTTTGAAAATTTTGCGCTTTTTGTAAAATTGTTTTTATTAGAGAGAGACAACCCTGAATCTGATCGTCTAAACTTTACATATTGGAAAGATCGGATATGCGAACTAATTTGATGAAAATGATGAGAATAGAATCACAACTAAAATTAAATATGATGAATCGCTTTAGCAAGTTTAACAAGGTGTAAGTTATTATCAATTAGTTGCGGAGAAGAAAAAGCAAATTTGTGAGTTATAAATTCACCAAACACTTGGTGTACGTACTACACAAGGTTTGGTTATACTCAAATTCTGGTGATTATAGTGATTCAAATGAATGTTATATGAGTTGTAAATTTTAGTTTGTCACTACAATTATTTTGTATGAATGAGAAAAATTGATAACTCACAAATTCAAGTAAATAGAAATAAAATGCAGAAAACTAAAATGGACACAGTATTTGTTAAGACAGTTCACCCTGTCGTCCTCGCGTGGGCTACTCTACCCCCAATTCTCACTACGCCAAAAATGATTTTTTGTATCACCTAATTTAATAGCACTTTTAAAAAAAATGCTATTAAAATGGAAAAAACACATTTATAATAGCACTTTTTAATCGGGCGCTATTATATAATACAGACTATGTAATTATGATAGCACTTTGTACCAAAACGCTATTATTAAACTTCTTTAAGATAGCACTTTGTATAAAACGCTATTATTTGACTACCTATATAATAGCATTTATTAAAAAGTGCTATCTTATATATAATAATTAATTAATTAATTAATTGATAAAAAAAAAAACAAAATACATTTTCAGATACACTATCTTCCCGCATCCTCCACTCACCGCCAAAACACTATCTTCCCGCATCCTCCACTCACCGCCAAAACACTATCTTCCCGCATCCTCCACTCACCGCATCCACTCACCGCCAAAACAAAACACTATCTTCCCGCATCCACTCACCGCATCCACTCACCGCCAAAAACAAAAACACTATTCTCCCAACTGATTCACCGCCGTTAAATCTTCCTCTGCTTCCTTTGGTTTTCATTGATTCACCGCCGTTAGTCATTGATTTACCACCGTCATCCCTTCCTTCGGTTTTCACCCGGATCCATTCTTCAGCCATCGGATTCACCATCGATTCAGATTCAGATTCACTTCTCAAACGACACTCAAACAGAAGGAGGAAACACCGAAAAGAAAGAACAACCAAATCTCATTCTCCGTCGAACTCAACCCTTTGTCATCTCACCTACATCGTCGTCATCCCTCTCTTCATTTGTATCCGGTAATATTTCTTTTTTCAGTTTCTGCTATCCGTTGATTCTCTGTGTTGTTTGTGTGTTGACGATATTCGTGATTTTGAGTAGCTGTAATGAGGGTTCGTGATTTTTTGCCGGTGTAGCTATATAGTCTGTGTACATATTTTAAAGCATAGAGTTCTTTGGTTATTTTGTAATATTCGAGAACTAACAGCTTGATAGAAACCGGTAAGTAACCTAGTGATTTGACCTTGTTAAAGTGGATATACATCCATCCATGATTATGGAAATGTAACCGAGTGTGAAATTTTATACCTGATACAAGCCGCTCTTGCCATTTATGTATATTGCCCTTTCAAACACAGTTTTAGATTTTGGTCTACAAGTGTTGTCAAATTGCTGTCAGTCGCAGGCCTCATTGCCTATTATATCCACCATGTTTTTGATATAAGCCCCGATGCCTCATCACCTATTATATCTACCATGTTCCTGATATTTATATGATGATAACTGTAATTGTGGCTACGACACCAAGGTTTTTGGAATCTCTGCAGCTGCAATTGCGGCTGCATCGACCATTTTTTCCTGCAATTTCAAATATCACAACGCAATTGCATCTGCGAATCCGACAACAGTTTAAAACTGCTTTTATGATACCATAGTCAAGTTATGCTGCTTTAACTAATTCTCAAATAGCTTATAGTTTACCATGTTGATATGCTACGCATTGAGTTTCTTTTTTCCTATATACTTGACACTGTTCATAAACTAGGTGTGTTTGTTAGCCTTGAGGAAAATTAGTTTTGGAAAATTATTTGCTAAAATATTGCTTTATGTTTGAGGTGTAAGATTTATTATTTGGATCCGGGTGTGAAGCAAGTTGGCTCAGAGTGCGAAATTGATTGTGGGGACCAGAAGAATTACTAGGTCGAAATACCTATCCCACTGATTTTATTTCCTTAGTGATTTTACTCTAATCCACCATTACTAGGTCGAAATCATCGATTCCGCTAGTTTTATGAATTTCCTCAGGGATTCTAATCTGATCCACCAAATTGCTATCCTAAGTGTGCATGGAATTTGAAATTTGTGTGAAATTTGCTGGATTGCGCTTAGGTAAACTTGCTATTTTGACAACATTGATTGTAATTTGTAACAATCTACCCGTTTGACAGGAATTAGATTTAGGGAGTTGGAATGGGATTAAAGGAGAAGAGAGGAGATCAGGAATTAGATTTAGGGAGTTGGAATGGGATTAAAGGAGAAGAGGGGAGATGTCCAGAGAGAAAGATAACAGAATTGCGAGGTTTGGGAAGCAGAAAGTAAATCCTTCGAAGTGTTTTCAATGTCTGTACATTTTCCTTTCTGTTTTATCATAGATTTCTTATCTGTTCTTGCACAGTCTCTTACCCGAGAACAATATCTTCTTCATATTAACACAGTGGAAAAGAGATCATAGCTGTTTTTCTTAAACAAAAGTGTACTCTTTTTGAGTTTATTTCATTGGTTACCCTCCTTCCCCGTCTTAAGCTTAATTATCTGTAGTCTAGACACTTCTACTTCGACAAATTCCATCAGTAGTTATCCCAAATCTAGCCAGTCTGATCTTTATTGCCAATTTATCCCACACAGCCAACTAAAGCACAAAATTGGCCCTTGGTCTAGCACAATTAGAGAAGAACAATTTGCTCCAGGGGGTAGGTATTTTTGCACCTCTAATTTCCTTGTACATCATAGTTGTTTTATAGTGACCTTTATGCTCAGCTTCTTTCCAATATCAACTTTGACATGCAATCTCTCTAAAGCTCGTGATTTTTTTCAAGATCCATGAACAATTATTGGGTAACTGCCAGTTTAATATTTGTTGCCCTTTGAAGTAATATATGTGCATATACTTTACCCATAATTTGTCTGCTTTGCCTTGAAGGTTCCATAGGAGTCTCATAATAGTGGCCTTGTTCCAGCTTACTAGTTCAGTGAGGTTCAAACCACCTGCATTCTTAGAGTTACATATGGTTTCCCAAGCAATAGGACCCTTTTTGATAATCACTTCCTTGCCACTACAAAGGTAGCTTATGCAAATATATTTAATTTATGTGATGACTTTTTTGGGCATGGGATAGATTTGTATCCAATAGGCACACATAATAGTCAAGACACTCTGATTTAGCTGCTTTCTGCCAGCATAACTTAGTAGGCTAGCAGTCCAGTGTTGGACTCTTTGGAAAATTATGTCAATGAGGGGTTGATAAAGAGCTATGTCCGGTTTCTTGCTATTAAGTGGCACTCCCAAGTATTTGAAGGGGAGGGTACTTGCAGAAAAACCAGTAGCATCCAGAATTTTTTCTTGTTCAGAGTTGCTTACCCCTCCAAAGAACACTTTGCACTTCAGGGGATTTGCTTTCAGGCCAATAGCATGAGAGAATTTCCTTACTTCCTATATTATAAGGTGCACAGGTAATGTATATCCTATTGTGAAGAGGATTATATCATCTGCAAAGCAGATGTTGGTGATGCAGAGTTTGTCACACTTTAGGTGGATGTTGAAATTGGGGTTGCTTTGTAAGTTTCTTAGACATCTATGTAAGTATTCCATTATGAGGATAAAAAGGAGGGGGATATTGGATCTCCTTGTCTAATCCTTCTTTTTTCTTTAAGGATACCACTATGCTGACCATGAATGGAGTATCGGTAAAAGGTAGTGGTGACACATGTCATAACCCAGTTGATGAATAAATGGAGGAAATTCATTTCTCTCCTAATGCTTTCTAGGGCAGGCCATTCTACTGTATCATAGGCTTTCTGGAGGTACACTTGTATGGCACACCTAGGGGACATATACTTGCATTTTTATCTTCTAAGTAATTCTTGGGCCATTAAGATATTATCATGGATAATTCTGCCAGGGACAAAAGCAGATTGTCTAGAATCCACCAAATAACTAATGACCTTGTTGAGCCTAGTGGTGAGGATTTTTTATATTATCATTTACAGGGTTTTACATAAAGCAATAGGCCTCATATCTCTAAGCTTCCTGACATCATTATGCTTAGGGATCAGGGTTACTATTGTGCAGTTTATGGCAGGATAAATTCTATTATTGTCAAATAATTCTCTTACAGTAGCCCTTACATCATCCTTTATTACCTACCATCTGATCTTGAAAAACTTGGCATTGTTACCATCAATACCGGGGGCCTTGTTATCCCCAATACTCTTAACACATTGTGCAATGTGTTTTCACCTGTAGAAGACTTTATCATTCAGAATGTGCTACTGTTGCTGCTGAAAGTTGTGATACTGATGAGGCAAATGAAAATTCAGGTCCTTCTGACATACCACTCGATATTTCTTGGATGAATCCATGTATAGATTTTGCAACAAAAACCCTCTTAGACACTGACCCAGGACTTTGTGAGATGGCATTGCAATTGCCAGTTTAGATCAGAGTTGTCAAAAGCGGCCGTAGCGGCCGCTATAGCGGCGCTCCGTAGCGGAGCAGTGGCCTCCCGCGCGCTAACATGGGGGCGGTAGCGGAGATGGGATAGCGGGCGCTTTTCATGACATAGCGGATCGTCCGTCGCGGGATATTGTAGTATTTATTACAACAAGTCAAATTAATTATTATTATAATAATGTCTTGGAAATAAATTTGGCATGTGAGTATAAAATATGAAGACCCTTTTGTTTGAACCTTAGAACGTAATCATGACTTGGTCCTGTTTTTATGTGGTTTAATAAAAATAAGTGGGTTTGAGAATATAGAGCTTTACAAACTAGTGGATCCTTAATATTATATTAAATAGAAAAAGTAGTAAACCCAATATTAGTATTATCTGAATTGAATACTTCCTGATGATGCTATAATTCCTGAGTGATAAAAGTGATGTATATAAAAATTATCCTAATTTAATAAAACTCTTTATTGATGATAATAAACCTTCTGCTATTGAATATATAAAAAACAATGGTTTACTATCCAACGATGAATTAATATTACTTAATAACTTTGATCAGTATACTTTAGAGGGTATTATGATATATGTATTAGGCAATCTATACCACTCTCTTGATAATGAAATTCCAGCTGTTCGAGTTTTTACTCTGATAGATCATATTGATAAGCATGTTAGATACCATTATAATACAGTTCATAATATGTGAAATAATCAATTTAAAAGTAGAGTTTCAAATGTGAAATGATCCAAGATGGAACATAATTTGGTTGTTAGAACCAATTTTTAACTAGTTATATATGTTACTTGTTAGGAAATATGGATCGAAAATGGATGTTTGCCAATCGAGCGTCAAAAGAATATGAAGATGGAGTTCGTGAGTTCGTTAGGTTTGCTATTGCTCATGCTGAAGACACTAGTAAAATCATATGCCCTTGCTTAGAATGTTGTTATACGGATGTTAGTGCAAATGTTTTGGAAGATCACTTAATATGTAATGGAATTGATAAAAGCTACACATGCTGGATAATGCACGGGGAAAAAAAAACCAAGTCCACAAAAAGGAGCGATGGGAGAGATTCATCAAATGATTTTGAAAAAGATACGAATTATGCGTTTGATCGAGTTGAAGAATTTGTCAATGTAATTGAGGAAGATCTTCGTGATTGTCCTCAAATGTTTGAGCGGATAGTAAGTGATGCAGAGACTCCGTTGTATGATGGATGTACTAAATTCACAAGACTGTCAACGGTCTTAAAGTTGTATAACTTAAAAGCACGCCATGGATGGTCCGATAGGAGCTTCACAGACTTGTTAACTCTGTTAAAGGATATTTTGCCTGAGAACAACGTGCTCCCTAGTCGAACGTATGAGTCTAAACAATTGTTATGTTCTATTGGCATGAGTTACGAGAAGATACA